TCGGGGCTCTGGCGCTCGCTTGATCTTCAGCGGGCTTTGACCCTCCCCGTCTGCAGAGGGCATTGTTGATTTAGAAAATGTCTTTGGAAGAAATCAGGCTTTCTAATCACAGGAGACAATGGGAAGAGCTCTGGACACTTGTTACCCGATCTATGGCCCCGGCTCTTGAGGAGGAATGGATCATTTAGCTGAAAATTTTTCAACTTGAGATGTTTAAAACAGGCTTTTCAGTTCTGTTATAATTTTACTTTATGAAAAGGGTCTGTTGTATATGCGGTTTCTTTAGTCTTTGTGGCCATTACAGGAGCCTGTTGAGTGTTTCTTAAATTATCTGAAATGTCGAGTACAAGTCTTGGACTGGAGCCTTGAATGGATACCTCTGAGGGATCACTACACAAAATTCATGGAATGTTAGGATGAAATTATACCTTTAATCTTGTCTGGGATGGAATGCAGTGGGTTTGTGGTGTTTACAACAGAGTACTGTAGTTTGGAGGAGAAAATGTATGTAAATGTGTATTGATTGATGTATAACAGTGCCTTACAGAGATAAGTGGTATTACCGATCACATTTATGAATTTAAGTTGATGTAAAAACCTGATTCTTCCATAAGGACTTTTAGAGTTATGTGCGTTTGCAAAAGGAACTTCAGGATTTTCCTGTATTTTGCACACCCTGTGAAAGGAGGTAAAAGCAGGATAAAAGCCCTATGGGGATCTGAACAGCTACAGGATTTAGTGTGCCTATTCACACGTGCTCCTTGGACTCTTGCTGTGGCACCGTGTTTTCTTCTTCAGAATTTCCCTCGTAACTAATCAAACTGACAACAGCAGACTGCTAGAAGTTTGCTTTTCTTGATGACCTTATCTGGTTTTTAATGAGAGGCAACAGAAGGAAGCTGTTTTAAACTACCTCTGACTTGGTCCATGAGCACGTATTCTTACATCTGCATCTGCTTGCTTTGCTCTTTCAGTTGATATTCTTCATCATACTAGAATGAGGATTAAATGGAGGCTGGGAATCAGTTTAATGGACACTTAAAAAGTTTCTTTTAGACAAATAGGTAGGAAATGTCTAGGACATTTTCCATTTCCCTGGTGTGTTACTGTACTGTGCAGAAAGAGGTGTGATTTGTCCAGGCAATCCCCATCTTCTGCCAAACTCGGGTTAGGGTTCTAAAATCAAATATTACATGAATGTGAAGTGTATACAGACAAATGCCTGCTAGTTCATAATAATTTAATCCTCGTATATGTATACAGGGCCAAAACAGGGCATAATCCTGTCCAAATGTATTGGTAATTACACATATGATACATTCAGAACCACAGAGCAAGAGTATGTGGGTGACTTGAAGCTGAGATAGAGAGCATAATATATTCTCTTTAAGAGTATATAGCACCTGCTTGGAGGAAAAGATCAGCCATGGCCTGCCTTGACTGATGCTGACATAAGGTTTATGCAGATAATTATCTTGTCAAAATAATGGCTAGTTTTAGTGCCATGTTTTCTTTTTCCAGCAGTTGGGGGTTTATTACATGATGGAAATTCTATCAAAAAAAATTTGGCTTTGCAAAATACAGCACGGGTAAAGTCTAGACTTGCAAGCATTGTTTGTTAAATTATTCTGTAACACTGTAGTATCGGGGAGGATAAGTTCCAAGTTTCACAAGCATCCTCTTTTAAATTTATATATTCATTTTGTCACTCAAACAAATCTTCATAATTACTTGGGAGTAGGCTAAAGAGAGCTCCAGAATAATCATGTGGAAAGAGTTTGTGTGTGCTTTTAACGTTTTAGTTTCTTTGTAACAAAAGACAGGTATGGCACAGATGTGAGCAGGATGTGATGAATGCTGAGAGGCGTCTGTGCGGCACTTTATTTTTGTTGGAGGTGAAAGTGGAAATGACTTCTGAGCTTGGAGCCCTTCATTCTAGAAGTGTGGCTCAGCTTGGCTTGTTGGGAGCCTGCCTCTTCACGTGGTGGTGACATGCGTGCAGTAAGCACCCGTGTGGCTCTGGGATGCCATTCAGACAAACGGAGCTGCTGCGGGAGGTTTGCCTGATGAGTGGTGGGATATTTGCTCCTGACCAACAGCAGCTGCACTTAGCCCTTCACAATATTGGAACCTGTCAGTGTTTGTGCAAAACCCCTGCTATTTGGTTTTATCCACAACCTTTTTACTTAATCAGGTGAACTAAGATTAGTATATTCTAATTTAAAAAGCAAATTTCTGTGAGGACAGAGCCTCAGCTGCAACCCACTGAAGCTGACATTGCACCGTGCTTTTGCCCAGGTTAGATGCAGCAGGTCTGCTTCCTAACGATGCTGTCTGGCAGCTGTGGGCTTCAGAAGTGTGGGGAAGCCAAGCTGTATCATCTGTACTGTGGGAACATGATGGCACCTGGCAGTATGCCCCCCTCCCACAGGGCTAGATGTCTCAAGCTGCCTTGTGCTGATGGCAGAGCAGAGCAGGAGTGGGGCCTGCCGGGCAACTGGTGTCACTTTAAAGATTGGGATTAGACCTTCAAGTCACTTTGCAACTAGCAGTACAGTAGGGCCTTAGTATACCATTAGCTGTGTGAATATATTGACAGCCAGGGCTCCATTTTCCTTCAGTTATTTATAAAAACGTTTGGCCAGTCTTATGCTAACTCTGGAAACAGCAGCTTCAGTAGTAGTACTGGTCAATGAAGATTTGCACCTGCATTCCAAAGAAAGTGTTGTTTATAATTACTTAAAATCGGGAAGGAGGTATGACACTGTGCTAACTTATTTCTACTTGTGAGATCTTGAAGCTTAGGTACTGCTACTGTCTCATTCATTCCCCTTTGGATGATATTTTGGTAGGAGTTGTCCACTGGACTCAAATTTACCAATTTAATTGCCTCTAGGGGGTGAAGGAATCAAAAAAGAGGGTATAAAGGAGTGAACTACAGCCATTGTATACACCTATGTGTATATATGGTGGAATAAGATACATGGAAGTCTAGGCATTATTCATTCTGCTGTTCAGAAAAGAATTCTGGGGTATTTTCCTTGTCTTGAAAAATTTGGCTTGCTAGGCTGGTAGCAAAAGCATTCATTTAAAAACTTCCCAGAATACAAACTAATTGTTTTGGCATTTTTGTCTTGCATGTGAGCAGGCTGACATGCTGCAGTTTATTTATGCCAAAACCACATCCATTCTGGGCACCTATTTATTGTAGACAGAAAAATTTCTAAGTATGACAGGCTATTTACTGTCATCCAGTTCTGCATTTTTCCAAGTTTATTTCTGTATTTTTTATGTAACAGCCAGACAATGAGATTTCTGCCTGGCTAAGTAAAACAAGTGCAGTAGCTGCCAAGGACTGTGGCCAGTGGCAGTGTGTGCTGTGCCAGTTATCTGGAGTTTTGCTGTGACAGCAAGCATACTGCTTCATGCCTGCAGCTGACTTTTACTGGTATCAAGCCTGGCATGCACAGGTGAAGAACCATGTCTGGCCCAAAAGAAACAGTAATGCCAAAGCCTGTTCATTGCAGCATTTTAGACAACTTCATTTTTACACAATCAAAGAAAAATACGATTCTTCCCTAGCAGTGAAATTTGATCATTCAGGCTATAATTTTCAAAAGGTAATACCTTTTCTTTGTATATATTCTGTTGGAACTTCATCTGGAAACATGGCAAGTTACCCTTCACAGAGTTGTCTGGGTAAAACAAAAAAAAAGTGTCTTTGACAGTGTGGTAAGGCTGGTGGAGCAGTGTCATGTCATCTATGTAATTTTTCTTGTAGTTGTTGCTCAGAAACGTAGCAGTTAAGTAGCCTTAAGTTTAGAGCCTGCTGCAGTGTTTGTTCTTCCTTAGTGGTGACCTTCTTTCTTGCCCTTGCTGAACTGTCTTTCTTAAAACAGAACTATGTAATACTAGTACTGAGAGATTCAGTGAGCGCGCCAGGCTCTTTTCTTCTGAACACCTGAAACATGCTTATCCGTGGCAACGTGGTCCTGCTCACCCTTAAGTGGTTTAACCTTGTTCCATTACATGCTGTGCTTAGGGTTAGCTGTGGTCAGTAGAACTCCTCAGTCAAATTGTGACTGAACAGAAACTGGGCAGAGGTAGTTTGTCTTTAAGAGGGTCTTAATCTCCCCGGTGTAAATTCTTTATGTCTCTGTGCAGGATCACTTTTGCTTCTGGTTTTTGCCTTTCAGTTCTAAAATCCCTTGTAAAGGTCTCATTAATACAGAAATTTGGGGAAAGCACTGTTTTTATTAGTGTTATTATGAGTGAGTGGCCTCAAGACTCCAATATGGCACCCTTCAAGAACTCTAAACTTACATGAACTCTCCCAGAAAAATCACAAACCCATCAATATCTTTCTTTAATTTGCTGTTGCAGGAAGCACTAGGGGCAATGTGCATGCTTTTTATATTGCTAAGCTGTATCGTCGTGGCTGCAGCTTTTTGCTCACTGCAGAAAGCACTATATTAATATTCCGATTAGGTGCAGATTAGTTTCTTAGTGGAAAAATTTTGAGTAAGTAGAATATGCCAAGCATTGCAGCAAGATTACTGAGGTTCAAAGTACAACACTTGTGCATTTTGTTAATACCATGTAATTCTTACTGGCATCCATGCAGTTGAAGCAGCATATTCCATCTATGTCTGTGTTCATGTTAGGGAATTTAAAAGAGGTATTCCAGCAAGAATATGTATGTTGTTGGGGATTTTTGTCAATGGAACTACACTCATTGAGCTACGCAGTGTTTCTGACCTGCTGTGTAGGAAACCATTTTTCTGATTAATACGTTGATACTGTGAACATAAAGATCTCAGGAAAATGGTTTGACTCTGTATTTTAGAACTGTGATTGAAGTATCACGTTTATCTTCACATTAAGTGTAATGAGCTATAACATGCCACAAAACAAACATTTTATTTTTGCTTTAACAGGACAATGGCGCTTTGTCTTCTGAGCAGAACAGTGCAACTAGCAAGACATTTGTCCAGTCCACTGGGGAGAGAACTCTGTTCAGCCACTGCAAACAAGCCAGTGTTGACTTTATTCACCAAGGTAAAAGTTATTTACAAAATAAAGCTAGTCAAAATGACATATTTATCAGCTCTGATATATGAGAATCCCAAATGAAATGGCTTGGCTCTGCTTTTTCTACCCTGCAAATTTGTGTAGCATTGGACGTTTAACTTTGGGTCTTATCTTTTACACTAGGCTTTACAGCACAGTCCTACTCTCATTGAAGCAAGCAAGTAGTTACAAACAACAAATGAAAATTTCAAGATACTAGTGTCTCAGTGACACTATGGTCTATTTACAAGTTGAAAATTGTTCTCCAGCTGCCAGTGTTTCATCCTGAAAATGGAGAACACAGATGAGTTGTTATATATAATCTGCACAAGAAAAGCATCAGCAGCCCAAGTAGGCTCTTCAACGCACTCATGTTTGATTTCAGTACTACCTGTGGGACTGAAAATACATGGAAATAGTTTTGGTAGTGCACAAGGAAAAAGTGGATTGTTCTTTACCCTCTTTTTGCTTTATTGGTTGTGTAACACTTAAGAGGAATAAAATCTACTTCTTCAGCTGTATAACTGTAGTGGCAGACCTTTCAGAAGTGAGAGGTTTCCTTTGACACCATCACAGGTCAAAAAGCTGCAGCTCTCTTCCAGTTCTCCCTACTGGATGTTAGTATCCTCCCAGCTCTGCAGGCTGCAGGGTCACGCTTAGTTCCTTTCAGGTAAAGTTAGCCAGGTTATCTTAAATCACCTTCTTCTGATATTTTGACAGGCCCATGTGGCTTGATCTGAATCAGATTAGAAATCACTTGTGTGACTTCCTCATTCCCCTTTTATCAAGGGAAGTTCTGTCAAGAGTGGTACTTGCAGTTTTCAGCTGTCGATGGCAATGCTTTGAATATTCATTGCTGCTGACCAGAAGAAGGGTTCTGTGCATGGCCTTCCAAACCATGCCCTTGACTCAGCCGTTAGCAGAGCCATTGAAAACTGTTAATTTGCACCATGAGAAAAGCAATAGCAAATTAAAAGTAATTATGTGGCTGTATGGTTTCCTTCCATCCATGCTGCACTGATAAAGATTTAGAAAGCAGAAAGACTTTCTGGTATGGGGGAGGGAACCCACATGTGCAGTAATGATAATGCCTGTCTGTCTGTGTTACTTTACAGTACAAATTAACTGAATGTTTTACTGTGTGCTCCAAGTTGACCTGAATATTTCCCCTTAGAAACCGTGCCCTCTATGTGATGAAGCAAAAGAAGTGCTTGAGCCATTTAAGAGAAGGGTAATGTATTGCAATACTGTATACATTTTCTACACAGAAGGAACAGTTAATCTGGATTTTTTATTTGTAGAAGAGAATTGCTTTAAATTATTTGCATCTGTTATTCTTTCATGGGTGACCTCTTCAAGACAATTTCAGCACTGATTTCCATAAAACTCATTACCCAAAAGGATTTTGTGAGAATGCTAGTCAAGTAAGTATTGACAAACTAAACCAATACACACCATGTCACAATGGTTTTTAAACCCACTGCTTTTGCAAAGACTCTTGCCTTGTCTAGTAGAGAAGTTTGCAAATTCTATGAGGCAAGTAATATTATTATTTGGGAAGAATGTTATTAAGTGGGGTTTCAAACACTTTATGTGATTGCAATTTTTTTTGCAGTTCTTCAACCAGCTTTTGATCCCTTTCATGAAGGAAGAAACTATTAGCAGAAGCATTAAGAGGTGTTGTCCTCTGCTGCCTAATGGGCAGCTGTTGTGTTGCCAGTTGCTTATTTGTTGTGGCTGGTGCTTATAGGAGCGTGGTTCTCCACAGAGGATCAAGAATATTGTAATGGACTAGGAAGAGAATCCTTTGTGGACATGCAGCCAAGGATTGTGGCTACATGCGTTTCATACCCACAAAATGGGCAACTGTCTACCACATGGAAGAGTATATCCAAAAGCACCAAGAAAACAGTCTTGCATTTCTGAAAAACAGGTTGATCAAAAGACAAGCAGATATTGTTTTTCAGTGTTCAGTAGTAGTTCACTAACAGACTTTCTTTCTCTCACAGTTTATTTTGCAGGAGGTTGACATTACCCTTCCAGAGAACTCAGTGTGGTATGATAAATACAAATATGACATACCTGTTTTTCATTTAAATGGGAAGTTCCTAATGAAGCATCGAGTAGACATTAAAAGGTTTCAGGACCACCTTATGAAGCTGGAGACGCAAAATGATAGACACCAGTGAAGAAAATGTGGCTGCTCTGGTGTGTGCAACACAGATTTTGTGTAGAAGCAATATTCAGTATCTGGCATTAGGTTTCTTAGAACCTATCATACCAGTGTCCTAAAAAACTTGAGTGGCTTACATTCTTTTTTGTATTAATCATCCAGCCCAGCTGCGCCAGTAGCAACATTTTCTGTGCCATTCATTTGCTGCTGTCCTAGGCTGGCTTTTTATTGACAGAATAAAGGCTGCTCCGTAACAGCAGATACAGTGAAATGTGTTTTTACTGGGGGGCTACAGGGTGGCTTCTGTAAGAAGCTGTTAGAAGCTGCCCAGATGCCAGGTGAAGCCAGTATGAGCCAGTTCCAAGATGGACCCGCTGCTGAGATGGACCAAAGCTGAGACCATCAGTGCTGGTACTAGTGCCTCTGTAATAATGTATTTAAGAAGTGGAAACTAAAAAACACCTGGGCATTGCAGCCGGGAGAGGACTGAGAATATGTGAAGCAGCTCTGCAGACACCAAGGTCAGTGAAGGAGGGGGAGGAGATGCTCCAGTGCCAGAGCAGAGTTTCCCCTTCAGCCTGTGGTGAAGACCATGGTGAGGCAGGCTGCCACCCTGCAGCCCATGGAGGTTAGTGGTGGAGCAGATATCCATCTGCAGCCTGTGGAGATCCCCATGTCAGAGCCCGTGGACTCCCAAAGGATGATGTGACCCCATGGGAAGCCTGTGCTGAAGCAGGCTGCTGGCAGGATATGTGGACCTGTGGAGAGAGGAGCCCATGCTAGAGCAGGTTTGCTGGCAGGAGTTGTGACCCCACAGGGGACCCCAGCTGGAACAGTTCGTAAAGAACTGTAGCCCATGGGAAGGACTCACACTAGAGAAGTTTGTGGAGGACTGACTTGTGTGGGAGGGATCCCTCGCTAGAGTAGGGGAAGAGTGAGAGGAGTCCTCCCTCTGAGGAGGAAGTAGTGGCTGAGACAAGGCGTGATGAACTGAGCGCAACCTCCCTGCCCCATCCCACTGCACTGCTGTGGGCAAGGAGGTAGAGAAAATTGTGAGTGAAGCTACGCCTGGGAAGAAGGGAGGGGTGGGGGAAAGTTTTTTTATGATTCTGGTTTATTTCTCATGCTACTATAATTTGACTGGTAATAAGTTAAACTAATTTCCCCAAGTCGAGTCTGTGTTGCCTGTGGTGGTAATTGCTGAGTGATCTCTCTCTCTCTCTCTTTATCTCAACCCACAAGGCTTTCTTTATATTTTCTCTCCACTGTGAAGCTGAGGAGGTGTCAAAGGTTAGGGTTGGGCTGGCCACTGGAGAGATGAGAGAGACACTCTCTATTAACCCCTCTCCCTTCCCAAAGGCGAAGGGGAAGGGAATAAAGGAGAGAGACTTATGGACTGCAAAAGTGAAACAGCTGTAATGAAAATAATAACAATTAAATACATACAAACCCAATATCAAACCCAGCCCCCCTGATGGCAATTGTGTCACCACTGATGCTGCAGGGCAGGCACTGGGGAATTGGATGGAACACCTTGCTGGTCAGTTCAGGGTCACCTGTCCTGTCTGCTCCTCCCCACAAGTGTGACCTTTTACTTTCCGCACCCCTGTAATGTACCCAAAATTTAGCAGTGACCTTGGTCTTCACAGGATCAAGTATAAGCATGAGCTTTTCTGCACACCAGTGCCTGGTAGTAACTTAAAACATCAAGTTTAAAACATTAAGTGTTATCATGCTAGAAGCAGACACTGCAAAAATATGTTGTTTACTTCAGAAAGTGCAGTTACTTAGAAGAGACTGAGTTGAAAAGTAAAATCACTGAAGAGAATTTGTTTTGTTCTAGCTCAAACCAGGACAGAAGAGGAGTGGTAGAACGGCTTTAGCGGGCACCTGGCATCCAGCTGGGTTCAACCCAGATAGTAGAGCTGTTACCAACACATGAGCACTGAACACTTTATTTTTCTTCAAATGGGATAAACACATATTGCACTTTGTTTCATCTGCTATAGCAAGCTTTGAGCTCTTTAGTACCCTGTCAGAACACCAAACTCAAATTCACTAGGGTTCATTACAGACTTCAGCTTTTGGAATGTAGTTTAATAAGAAGCCAGCTGATCTATGGTAAAAGTGGGCAGTTCCTATATGGCCCCATCCTACAGTATCTCTAGTGTTTGACAGATGATTTGCAACCCAATTCTGATATATTCTGCATGATAAAATATTTCTGGGCAGTGGATGGTGAAAAAAAAACCCTTTCTTCCAGTTGAGCAACTGGAGTCCTCTCAGGCATTCTGAAAGTATCCAAGAGTTCCCAGGAGTGAGAGCTGTGACTTTTTTATAGCAGGGATCTTTAGCTAAGTTCAGCCATATCACCTAACTATAGTCTGTGATTTATAGGACTTCAGAAGCTTCCATTTCATAGCAGTACTTCACATTCCTCAAGAGGTCTGCAGAAAGAGAGTAGCATCAAACAGAATGGATTTACTAGATGTGTAAGAAAAAAGGATTCACTTAGAAGTTTAAACATCTCCTTAAAGCTGTTTAAGGCTTTTCATCAGCAATTTTCATCAGCTTTTCAACAACAATGTAACTGTTTGATCCAAAACTGAAATTACAGCCAACTGTTGCTTCTATAGGAAAAGACACATCCTGATTTAAATTAACCTATTTGCTCTTTTTGTAGCCTTACTTTACCTTTAGAGCTTGCTGCTTTACTTGGATGTCATTTACATTGTAGAGGAAGAGTAAGTTGAGGAGATTGTTAAACAAAACAAGCTGAAACTTCTCAGGAGTGACTGAACTTGAGTAACCTGGCATACTGTTAACTGTGATGCTTTCCCTAATGTGAGAAAACAAACAAAAAAAAAGGGAACTCTTGAATTGTTTGTTGCAGCATAGCTGTGCTCTAGCCACAGTGTTTTCCATCAGCACTGGCAGAGGAGCAGGACCCTAGAGACAAAAAGTTGTATACTTTTTGGAGTTCATAATGCTACAGACAAACTTCTAAGTGTACCACGTTACTATTAAACAATAGTTCTGAATTATGTCTGTATCAGCAAGCAAATGCCATTTGCTTTCCTACTATAGTGTGAGATGGTTTCAGAGGGCCCAGGTTTTTCCTTGCTGAGGTTTTATATTAAGAGAACTGGCACACTTTTCAGTCATAATTCAAGCACTTTTGTAAAATATAGCATCATTATCTCAAATATATGGAGGACAGAGGTCATGTGGACTTGCCCCATTTCCCAGTATACATCACTGACAGAGGCTGGAATAGCCACCAGAGAGCAATTTGCCTTTTTTTTATTTTTAATAAGGACTGGTTTGGGAAGAAAAAGAATGAAGCTAAAAGCAAACTTCTTAATCATCCAGGAAATGATGAATCCCTTGTTCCCTCTTCATTCAGACTATGGAGGTTTTCTTATGTATCCAGTGCCAGATTATTTTTTCCCTCTTTATTTTGTAAAGTGGATGATAACAGGATTTTTATAATAGCTTTTGTGCACGGCATAGCCTTTATCAGTGCAGGGGAGTTTTCCCATTAGTTCTGTCTGTGGTGCTGGTTGCATGTAATGTACGGAGAAGGGGTGGCTGCTTCTCACAGCTCTTCTGGTGTACAGTCAGACATATCCTGGCAGTGTGCATGCCTGAATCCTATCTTCTTTTTCAACACAAGTAGCATATCCATCTGTGTGAGACGTCACTCTAGACAGATATGTAAGCAATGGGCCTGGACTCCAGGGTAAATCTTCTATGTTGAAGAAAGATTGCTGCCAGCTACTCCTCTCCGAACAACACCCTGTCCTTCCAAAGCCAAAACATGAGACATACTGCCAAAACCTTCCAGGAGTGTCTGAGAAGACGTTACTGTTCTGTGGTTTTAAGGGAGCGGAAGCCCTATTTTCATCAAAGATAGGAGGTAGAAACCTGTGAATATGAAGTGTTGCTGGCACAACTCGGAGAAGGAGCTGTGCTATACTACCAGATTCTCTCCTACCTCCTTGAAAAAGCTCTTTTCCTGAAGTATGATTCTTATTTATAATGTACTTTTTACCTCTCTTATTAGCACCTAACTCCCAAAAATAACAAAAAATCTGTATGTAGGCTTAGCCAATTCTGAAAGTATTAAATTATTTCAATCGTGTACATGCATTCGCCTTTAGTCACATAGCCATCTGGATTAACTACAAGTGCAGCAACATGTGGAAGCAAAGCCACATGTGCAAGATCACAGGTAATTTTTTTTTTGTCAGACGGCATCACTTTCTAGTCGACTTTGCTCTATGCTGTACAAATATGCCTATTTTCTATCATGCCCTGCTGGCAAAAAGGTTCCATCCTGTTCCTGTGAAGCTGCTGGACCTTGGATACTCAAATCTGAGTTCTTGGAGGGCAGGGCCAGAGCTGTGAGATACACCTGAACAGGAAAGTTTCACCAATTGGGGAACTCCAACTGGATTCTGACTTGTGCTTCCTTGGCAAAAGGCATGTTAAGAATGACAAAATCATCCTCTGTCCTCTTGTAGCACATCAGATTAAATTCTAGTTCACGGTCTTCATCTTCTGGTGACAGATGACATGCCTAGGATATTCAAGGAGAAAAATACTCTCAGGTCTTGCCTTGTCTGTGGAATGAACTGTTGAGACTAAGGGTGCTCCAGACCTTCTAGATTTTTCCTTGATGTTGCCTTCTGGAGTGTATGTGGTTGATCAAAACTCTATGCACAGAACATAAAATAAATCTCCCCCAATCGTATACACACACACACACACGATTCTTCCTGCAGTGAGACACAACTACAGCGACCTACCTCAAGGAGAAGATGAAAGAACAGCACATGACATGCGTTACTGGAATGCACCTAGATAACTGTGGTGATCAGGGCATATAAAACCATCAGCTTTAATTCAGGGCCTTGCTATAGGCCATATATTTTTCACCTGTCTGCTGAAGAAATGAGACTTGGACCATGTAATTGTTTATCAGTCCAATTATTTTCCTTCCCTTCTCCCCTT